GGCCACCAGGTCCCCAGGAGGGCCCCGCCCACGGCCACTTTGGAATTGGCGCCCCGCGGGCCCTGACTTCCCCACGGGCTGGATGCACATGTTGCTCAGGTCCAGCTCCTCTTCCGGAGGCTGGTCACGTTCCCCGGAGGAAGTCAGCTGCCCGGACAGTTAGGAGCTGGTTCCTGGCCTGTGGTCTGTGCAGGGCTCCGGCCTCCCAGGGTGCGGTTTGCTGCAGGCCCGCCCTTCTTGCAGGGCGGGAAGGGAGAACTTGATTTTGCACGTCCTGGGTCACCAGTAGGATGGCCCCATCTGTCAGCCTGAAGAGAGGTCCTGTGGGCTAAACACACAAGAGAATTCTTCCTCCCAACCCCCAGGACAGGGCCCCTGCCAGATATTCGTTCTGGAGGACCCTTTTGTTTCTGGGGGGGGGGGGGGGAGGTAGGGGGAGGTTCAGAGTTCAGAGACCAAGGTGTTGGAAATAAAAATCAGGACTTGGAAACACGAACAGAGGGAGGAATGCTTGAAACCCAATGCCCATTTTTCCGAGCATGGGATACTGTTGGCCTCGGCAGAAACGGCAACAGGTGTTGGGTGAAGTCTGACCAGACCTGGGCCCAGCAACCTCGGCGCTTGAGTTCTGGCTGAGAAAGAATTCCGAACCAAGGCTCAAACTGTAAGAGAAAGTTTATTTAGAATAAGTGAGCTGTCGAAGAAATGGGCTCAGGAAACAAGTTACAGAGGCAAAAGAAGGGGCCCTTGGAGCTTAGGAGAGAGAAGGGTAAAAGGTCACATTCCTGGTGGAAACTGGAAGGGGACAGCTTGCTGGGTCCCCTGTCCTGAGGGCTTTTAAGGGTGGGGATCTTAGGGGTGGTCCCAGGGAGGATCTCAATAGAATACTCATCAGCTCTCCAGGTGTGTCCTTTCAGGGTCTTGGTCTCCACTGATTGGTCCGAGCCAGGGCAGGGGGACATTAGTCAACGCAGCTGATCTTGATATCAGCCATGGTTTTGCTCCTTTCCTGGACCTGGAGCTGAAACACAGCTGAGGCCCAGATTTATTTGATTCAGGTCAGAACCCTATTTTCTGGGAACTGAATGCTCGAAGGTTATTCTCCGGTCCCCTCGATGGTTCCCCCTCTAAGGGGGTCTAACCTTCATGACTAGCAACATGCTAGGGGAGGACAGGGCGGGAGGAAGGGGGGTTCTAAATCCCATGACCAGTAGTATGAAAGGTCAGGGGGGCCAAAATGCCATGACCGGCCATAGGCTAGGGGAGGAAAGCTTACCCTGGGGGAGAGGGCCTTGTTTTCCCGGTTCCCCTGTTGCTTGGCACCTGGGGCTTTCTGCCCTGCTGGCATCTGTACCTGGCCTTCTGTCCTGCTCTGCTCTGTCTGTCTGACTGCCTACCACAATACCAATAACAATGGATACTTTTACACATACCCTTCTGGGGAACTAGAGGACAGGGGTCCAGGCCGTGTCCTCCACCGCACATGGGCACATCACACTTGCCACATGTGATAGTTCACAGGCCTTACCTCACAATGCACCCACCTAAGAGAGGGAAGGCCTGCCATAAACATGTTGTATTGAGATCAGCCTGCCACTTGGCTGCTTTCTCTTCATGGTTCTGATCTGCACAGAATAAGCTCAAGACAGTTGCGTTGGGCAGTGTCTGTCAGCAGATGCAGTTTGTCCCATAGGATTCATCACAATATGTCGGAGGTGGGTCAGGCCACCACCTGCTTTTACGCAGCCCACGAGCTAAGTCTGGTTTTTACAATTTTATTTTTATAAATAGCTCTATTAAGGTATAATTTATATATATATTTAAAATATATTTTTATTGATTTCAGAGAGAAAAGGAGAGGGAGAGAGAGATAGAAACATCAATGATGAGAGAGAACCATTGATCGGCTGCCTCCTGCACACCCCACACCAAGGATCAAGCTGCAACTCAGGCATGTGCCCTGACCAGGAATCGAACCGTGACCTCCTGGTTCATAGGTTGACACTCAGCCACTGAGCCATGCCAACCGGGCAAGGTATAATTAACATATAAAGAATTGCACATATTTAATGTGTACAGTTTGATGAGTTTGAACATATGCAAACAAACATCCATGATAACATCACCACAGTCAAAATAACAGACATACCCAACACCTTGCAAAATCTCCTTGCTTCCCTTTGTTATGTTTTGTGGTTGTTGTAAGAACACTTAACATG